GAAGGCTCTCTGACCATTTGAGTAGTTTCCATAAGTCGTAAGCTTGGGCTGAAGACATCTCGAAATTGCTATTAATACTTATCATTCATATCCATTTCATATTAATGTTTGTCCTTGATATTAAATTGTAGCACATTAGTGATTGTGGGCGATGAGGGAAATATTGAAAATAAGGAGATGGTAAATTGTAATATCAATGAAGATGACAGAATATATAACCCAAATAGTGAAACTTATACCGATCAAGAAGAACTTGAATCTAACGTCGATGATGGTAAACATGCATCCGATGACAAGACCATTGATTACTTCATCAATGAGGATATATATGACAAGATTGGAAAGGAACTACAAGATTCTGATGACAATGACTTGGATATGCTGAAGTGGAAGTTGTTGGATGATTGTGTTGAGTTCTGCTATATTTATGCAAAAGATAAAGGTTTTGGAGTTTGAATGGATTCAACAGTAAGAAACCGAAGTGATGATCACATAATTTCAAAGAAATTGGTCTGTCGAAAATAGGGATTTAGGAAGGAAAAGTGGAACAAATTACCCAATAGAAAACGTTAAACAAGACCAATAAGTAGAGTTGGATGTTAAGTGTTTATTAAATTCAAATTTAACGAGAAACATCAATTCTGAAAAGTTGAGAAACTCCACGCATATCATTGTCATGAAATGATAAAGCCAACACAAGTGTCATTTATCACGTAAATTGTTGATAAATCGGGCAAAGTAAACGAAAGAACACAAGAATTTTAACGAGGTTCGGCAATGTGCTTACGTCCTCGGTGCCTAGGCGGCGCTATAAAATTTTATTCAATTCTCATAGGTTTAGGTTACATCTCTATTTATAATAGAAAACCCTGGTACATAATTACAAAATTAACTCTGTACCGTACCGCGGGGGCTGCGCCCCCGCACCCCCAAGCCACATAAGCGTAACCCCCTCTACGAGACTTTCTTTGTAAGGACAGTTGATGTTCACTCACTCCATCCCCTGTCCTCTTTACCAGTATATTTATGAGCCATACCTTACATATATAAATGTGTAATTATGTTTTTTTACATTATCTTTACCATTCCATTTTTAATTTGTAATAACTATTGATGATTTAGCTATAGATCCTTTTGAAAAATTAGTGAGACAGATAAAATCAAAATTAATACCATGCACAACTCAGGAATTGCTCCGAATAGAATGATAAGAAATTTTATGAATGATGTTGGTTCTCTTGAGAATGTTGGATTTATACAAAAAAGATTTGTACAACTATGTACATAGGATCAAATGAGAAGAAGTTCAAGATGGCGATGTTGAAACAGTGATGGCATATCTTTATGAAAAGCAAGAACATGATCCATTATTTTTTTGTGAGCCATACAATAGATGAACATGGAAACCTGGGGAAGTTATTCTTGTGTGATAGTGTATCACGTATTGATTATAAGGAATTTAGACAAGTATTTGCATTTGACACTATCTCCGTTTGTAGTCTTCGTTGACGTTAATCATTATTGAAGCACAGTTTCATTTGGATGTTCATTGGTAGTAACTGAGAAAGGAGATACATATGTGTGAGTTTTACAACAATTGATTACATCACGAGATGGTTACAAACCACTCACTATCATTATTTATGGAGATAAAGCTATGAAAAATGTCATTTTCAAGTTCTCCCAGAGGCGAAACATAGATCATGTTTATAGCATCTTATGAGGAATGTCAGATAAAATGGTAATAAACAATTTCATGATGGATTTATGAGGTGTGTTGACAAGTGTAGAACACCATCAAATTTTGAAAATGCTTGAACTAAATTAGTTCATAAACATAAATTTGAAGATAGGATGTGGGTAAAAAGAATTGTACGAGACCAAAGAAAAATGGGCAGAAGAATATACTCAATGATGCTTTTATGCATGTTAATTTAATTATATTTTAAAAAATACTTTAATATTAGTTGAATTCATTTTATATTCTATTTTATTTACTGTATTAAATGAAAACTATTAATAATTTTTATGTGCAACAATGAGGACTACTCAACGTTGTGAGTCAATGCATAGAACACTTAAAACTTTGTTGGACAAAAAAGGTACTGTTATATTGTTTCATTACATATTATCATACGGAACTACAAGATTTAAGGTGGGAGGAAGGTCATCAAGAATAAAAACAACAGATGAACAACCATATTGTGACGGTGTATTAGTGATTTTCAAAACTCGTGCAGCACAAGTATATACAAGAAATTTTTTTACTACTTTTCATAAGGAAATATCGTATGAGGGTTATTATTTGGTCAAAGATATTATACCAGGTCATGAACGTACGTGTTATTGACTAGAGCATGCTGAAAAAGAAAAAAGGTATGGTATCTTGTTGTTAAGAATGTCACTCACGATACAATCTATTATTGTTGTATAAAGTTGGAGTTTGTTGGATTTCCATGTAGACATATGTTTGATGTGCTGAAATATGAAAAGATAAAGGAAATACCTCAAGGATGTATCATGAAACGTTGGAAAATTTATGCTTCTAGTTTTGATGCATTGTATAAAATTTAAACGAAAGTGGTCAATCATGTAGTTTACCCTATAATTTATTTCCAAACTAAAGCAAGTAAAATTAATGAAACATTTAAAACAAATTCAAATTAAAAATTAAAATAAAAGTAATGATTCAAAATCAATTTAGAATTAACCCATAATTGAAATTTTTAAAAATTAATATTGAATTAATATTAATTAAAATAAAAGTAATAATTCAAATTCAATCTCGAACGAAAATGAATGTCCATAATGGTTAATTCACATAATGTCTAACTTGAATGGTTTCATCTCCTCATACACGACGTTTGAAAAGATCAACTTCATTATGGTTGTTAGTAATTTGTTTTGCCAAATATTTCAGTCGTTTAACCCTCATTTCCTCTGTATGCACACAAAAAAATCAAAATATTTAATATCACTACGCATATAAACTACACTATGTGAAATTATATTTTAACTTTATGGTAAAAAATATTTGGACCAATCAAAATTTTGATTAGCTTATATATACTTCAATACATACATACCACAATCGTCCCTGAAGCCAATATAAAATAATTATTTTACTCAAAATATATAGTTATGATTTAAGTAATAAATTCATAATTTAAACTTCAAGTAATATACCTATTTGGTTTCTTCGGTAAGTGAAGAAAATGATTCAAAATTGTGCGACATATTCAGATAATCGACTCAAATGAAGATGAGTCTCATAAACATGAGGGGTTTTAATCAACTGATATTGCAAGTAACACCATAAATGAGAAAAATAATTTATTAGAACTGATGAAAATTCTACTAAATTAAATAAACCAATAAATACTTACTAAATCTTGTGTAATTATTTTACGTTCCTCATTGACACCAAGAGAGTCCAAAATATAATTTTATTGCTCCAAGACATTAACAACCAATAAAAACCAGTGTTTACCATTTTCATCATGCAAAAGCAAATAAACCTAGTCAAATTTAAAGTTACAAGCAAGTACATGTTAGCAAACAACAAAATGAACAACAAATGACATTTATACATGTTCAACATTTCTACTATCAATAGGCATAAACTCTTCTATCCATTGACAACGGTATTTTTGAATGTTTGTCTCTAATCTCGTCTTGTTGAGATATACATAATATTCGATGACTCTAACCTGCTATAAACAAGGGTTAAATTTTAGTAAATTTAAAACCTCAAATTATGTGTTGCGTCCACCATGAAAAATATTTTTATCTGAAATGATAAAGGCATATACAATTTTTTGGGCTTAGGCTCTTGGTTTATGTATAAATCATACAAATATATATAATAACATTGTTATTAATAATATAAAAAAACTAAGTACTTAAATAAATTTCAAAATTAAATTATATTTTCGTATCATGTAACCATTTTCTTGAAAAGACACTTCAAGTATCGGTTTAAGAACGTTGGGCTTGACTAATATTGATACTATGCTTCATGGTATTGATACTACTGTGTAAAGTAGTATCGGTACCTATTTTGCATTCTGAAATTTGAGCAATTTAGAAAACAATTAGTAGTATTGATACTATCTAGAAAGTATCGATACTTCTCTTACCTTTGGTATCAATACCACATGAACAATATCATTATTGTTCATATAGTATCGATTCTGTAAGAACAATATCGGTACTACGTACTCAGAAAATAATTTTGTGCTCAAATTCTAGTTTAATGGACTTTGAATTGTTTTTGAAAATTTTGAATAAATTCAATCAATTCCAAAAATATTTTCCTTAGTTTGTTATATAAAAATATTATAAAACATAGTTCAACAGTAAATTACACGTTTAGTACCTAAATTATCAGTTTTATTTTATTTTAGCACCTAAAGTTTATTTATTTGAAAGCTTAGCGGGGTTGTTACAACACTTTTTAATGGGTAAATCACACCATTCATCACTCAATATCTTCTCATTTATATTTTTGTTACTGAAGTTTAATTTTTAATTTAATTACTTAGCTTTCAAATTACTACTAATTTAATCACTCTAAATTTTAAATTTAATTTTTTAATTTTAATTATATATTAAAAAACAAAAAAATTATCATGGCAAAAAAATCATTAATAAAATAAATTAGAGTGATTAAAATGAGTAATTTAAAAGTTAAGTAGTTAAATTGAAAAATTTTAAATTGTAATCAAGTGCAATAGTTCTTTTAAGTTTTTAACGACGAGATACTAAAATAAAACAAAAAAATAAAAATTAATATAATTTTGAAACAAATGAAAATTTAAATACTAAAATAAGATAAAATTAATAGTTTACGTATTAAATTAAAATAAAATTAATAATTTAAGTATTAAATATATAACTTACCTATTTTTTATATTAGTAGTGAAAAGTAATACTAGAAGATAACAAGATGATAAAGTAACCTTATCCATGAAATCCGGATCTGTGAGCAACTCATTTTTTCTTTCTTATTCAGCCAATGGCGTCGTGTAAAATGAAAACAAAACCCAAAACCGCCATTTATTCGAAATCCAACTACCAACTTCACCACCGTCGCTTCAGCGCCCAACCGCCAAAGGTATTCCATGGATAAAGTAGCTCCATTTCAACACTACTTTACTCTTTCTCTCAGCCAAAACCCAATAATACCCACAAAAGTTTCACCAGCTTTTGTAGCTCTTGGCCCTACACTCACCTCTCCTGCAACCCAATTTTCCCCTTTACCACTTACAGACTCTTGGTCTCATTTCTCTCCTTCCCGTGCTTTCCACTCCTTTGATGGCTTAAAAAGAGGTGAATAGTTTGGAGTCAGTTAAAGCTTTGCATGCCAGGTTGCTTAAAATGAGTAATGATTGGGGTTCAGATTCTATGGCTAAGAGTTTGATCTCGAGTTATTTGAAATTTGAGGATTTTAGAGCGGCTTCGACTGTTTTCTTCATTGGTTTCGATCGGAATTATGTTTTCTGGAGTCCTTTCTTGGACGAGATTCGTAGCTGTGGGGGACAGACAAGTCGAGTTCTGGAGGTTTACGGTGAATTATATGGTAAAGGAGTGATTTTTGACAGTAAAGTTCTTACTTTGGTTCTGAACCTGTGTGCTACTATGATGGATTCATGGCTAGGATTGCAGATTCATGGTGATCTGATCAAGAGGGGTTTTGATTTGGATGTCCATTTGCAGTGTGCGTTGATGAAGTTCTATGGAAGGTGTTGGGATATGGAGAATGCTAATCAAGTTTTTAACCAAATGGTGAAAAAGAAAGAGCTTGCCTGGAATGAAGCCATCATGTTAAACTCGAGGAATGAGAGGTGGGAAAAGGCTATGGAGTTGTTCAGGGAAATGCAGCTTTCTTTTGCCAAAGCTAATGGTAGCACCATTGCGAGAATGCTGCATGGATGTAGCAAAGTGGGAGCTCTGCAGCAAGGAAGGCAAATTCATGGGTATGTGTTGAAATTTGCATTCGAATCGGATTTATCAGTATGCAATTCCTTAATCAATATGTACTCAAGAAACAATAGACTGGAACTTGCGAGGAGAGTTTTTGATTCGATGGAAGACCATAACTTATCTTCTTGGAACACCATAATCTCAAGTTATGCTAGCCATGGCTATTTGAATGATGCTTGGAATTTATTGAAGGAAATGGAATCATCTAATATAAAACATGATATAATAACTTGGAATTGCCTTTTGTCTGGCCATGCCCTCCATGGCTCTCATAAAGCAGTGTTGACAATCTTGCGGAGAATGCAGGGAAGCGGTTTCCGGCCGAATTCGACCTCTGTCGTTAGTGTTCTTCAAGCTGTCACCGAATTGAGGATATTGAATTTCGGGAGAGAGGTTCATGGATATGTTGTAAGAAATGGGCTGGATTATGATGTATATGTGGTGACTTCATTGATAGACATGTATGTGAAGCATGATAGTCTAGGAAAAGCTCAGGCAGTTTTCGATTACATGAATGGTAAAAGAAATATTGTTGCTTGGAATACATTGATATCGGGATATTCGTTCAGGGGCCTTTTCGACGATGCTAGAAGATTGATGAATGTGATGGAAGCGCAAGGGATAACACCGGACCTTGTAACATGGAATAGTTTGATTTCCGGTTATTCATTGGGTGGGTGCAGCGGTGAAGCTTTGGCCTTGATTCATCAAATAAAGAGTACAGGAACGAGTCCTAATGTGGTATCTTGGACAGCTCTGATCTCAGGCAGTTCACAGAATAGAAACTATGGTGAATCCCTCGAATTCTTCAGCCAAATGCAACGCGATGGTATCAGGCCCAATTCCGTCACCATATCCTGCTTACTTCGAAACTGTGGAGGTCTCTCTCTTTTACAGAAAGGCAAAGAGATACACAGCTTCATCTTAAGAAATGGTATTATGGAAGATATCTTTGTAGCTACTGCTCTTATTGACATGTACAGCAAATCTGGCAGTTTGAAAGCTGCTTATGAGGTTTTCAAGAGGATTGAAAATAAAACATTGGCAACTTGGAATTGCCTGATGACGGGGTTCGCAATCTATGGCCTCGGTAAAGAGGTGGTCTCGCTCTTTGAGCAGATGCGCGGCACAGGCATAATTCCCGACGCCATAACATTCACGGTCGTGCTATCTGGTTGTAAGAATTCAAGCCTAGTTGTTGAAGGATGGAAGTATTTCGATAGTATCTACTCGGATTATAGTATAATACCGACAATCGAACACTATTCTTGCATGGTAGATCTTCTAGGAAGAGCTGGATATCTTGATGAAGCTAAGGATTTCATTCAAAGAATGCCATTGAAACCGGATGCTACCGTTTGGGGTGCTCTTCTCGGATCCTGCCGTATCCATAAGAACATCCAACTGGCAGAGATTGCATCAAAGAAGCTTTTCGAGTTAGAACCACATAATTCTGCAAATTATGTTTTGATGTTGAATCTATATGCCATGTTCGACAGATGGGAGGACGTTGAACGCATCAAAGATTTGATGAGAGGTACCGGGGTGAAAAGTGGGCGAGTCTGGAGCTGGGTTGAAATCAATCAGATAATCCATTTATTCAGTGCAGAAGAGAACCATCCGGATGAAGGGGAGATATATTATGAGTTGTACCATCTGGTTTCCGAAATGAAGAAGCTCGGGTATAAGCCTGATGTCAAGTGCGTTTATCAGAATATCGACGACGACGAAAAGGAGAAGACGCTGCTAAGTCACACGGAGAAATTGGCCATAATCTATGGACTAATCAAGTTGGGAAATGACACTCCGATCAGGGTAATCAAGAACTCGAGGATTTGCTCCGACTGCCATACCGCAGCTAAGTACATGTCTTTAGTAAAGAACCGAGAGATTTTCCTACGGGATGGTAGTCGGTTTCACCATTTCAGTGAAGGGAAGTGTTCATGCAATGATTGTTGGTAACAAGGGGCCTTATATGGCTTTCACCATTGCAGCGGCACCATCTTGAGAGATCATGGATAGCTCTAGCAACTACTCGAAAGCAGTTAACATTGTCCGAAGGCAACAACACGAAAAGATGGTTGTTCGAAGAGCGAGAATAGCGAGAAGTTTCACCTCCTCGCTCCTGGATGGAACCATGATGCTCACCAGTACTTGGCAGCATATAAAAGTGGTAGAACTCATTTAAATGTTGAAGAAGATATTATTACGAGTCGAATATAGATGGTAAAACAAACATTTAAGAATGTTTGATCCGAGGCTCTCGTGTATAATACGGTTTTAATAGTATATGAGGTACTCAATTTAAAAAAGAATAATAATAAAATAAAATCAATTTTAAGTTTTAATTCTTTTATGATCTTGAATTGAGAAAATCAATTTAACTCTTGATCAATAAAATTGAACGTTGACTGTTACGATATTAACGTGACAATTTATAGTACTAAGGTGATTGATCATAGTATAAATGTGACGGTCGACAATAGTTAATGATGTGGCAGCTAAATTGATTTTTTTTAGTTGAGTTGAGGGTCAATTAATTGTTTAAGTTCAAAGATTTATTTAATTTTAAAACATAAAAATCATTTAAAAATTAGAATTTACAATCTAAAATTATTAAAATATTAAAAAAATAAAAATATTTAATATATATTGTATATAATATATACATGTAATATATAGACACAAAGACAACTTAATCATATTTATATGGTTGAATTAACAAATTTAATATGTTTTTAATTTCATATACATATCAATCATCAATCCATATGATCAATCCATATGTCATATACTTTTATATAAATATATGTATGCATACTAAATATAATTTCACTATCATACAATCATAACCTCAACAATTATATAAAGTATTATTACTGAATTAGTCAAAAACTTACAAAATATGTATCTAAATATAGTTATTTGTGATATTTTTAAAAAACAAATTAACAATATTTTTAGTATTTTTAAAATTTTAATTTAATTTTTACTTTTAATATCTATATATACATATTTTTTAATATTTTAAATATAAATAAGTTCTTAATTTTTAATTTTTCCTTAAAAATAAAATAACTTCTCAAACTTTCTAAAATATAGAATTAATATTTAAAATTTTGTAAAAGAATCAACGAAGCTCCCCTGTTACATTATCATCCATCGTAGGCTGCTACATTCATAAAGTTGAAAAATGAATAATGAATCAATTTCTGTTTAAGCGTGTCAAAATTCTTTTAAAAAATATTAATTCTATTTTTTTAAAATTAACTTTATATTAAATTTATAAAAAAAAAATCCAATTTTTGATATCATAACAGTATATGCCGGCTTTTCTAGTTATAGAAGGTGTAAGATAAAATTATATTTTCAATGTTCGAATATTGAAAATGATAATCTTAATTCTTGTGAGAGAGACAAATACGAATCTAAAAAGTTATTTTCATAAAAAGTAAAACAAATATAAAAATCAATTATATTAATAAAAATAAAACATTAAAATTGCATGTCAAAGTGCACTTTCCAACTTGTTTAACTAATTGATCTGAAAAAGGAAGTTCTCACAAAGTCAAATAAAGTGCTTGTAGACAACGGTTAAGAAGACAATTATTTTTCCATTCCCTATAAAATGTCGAATGTTCGGTCTTAAACCCGAAGTTTTCCTGTTAGTAAAATATCATCTTGAATGCATCAATTCATCAAATAACAACGGGGCGGAAAATTATTTGTACAGTGCAACAAGAAAAAGGGGAAATTATTTGTACAGTACAAAAAGAAAAAGGGGAAATTATTTGTACAGTACAACGAGAAAAAGGGGAAAACTTATACATGAGGTTGGAGGAAGACTGTGGACGTACAAATTCTGAGATGCTCATCAATACTTGGCAGTATATTAAAGTTGTAGAACTCATTCAAATGATGAAGAATATACTATTATGAGTCGAATATAGATGGTAAAACAAACATTTAAGAATGTTTATATCATCGACCTTTAAGTGTTGTATCGTTTATACTATTGAACTTTCAATTTTACTAATTATAACACTGAATTTTATTTTTCGTTTCAATTATAAAACTGAACCGTTAAATCGTTAATAGACCAATGACGTGCCTAATGTCTCTAAACATAGATACCTCACCAAAACGACGTCATTTTGTTATGACTATTAATGATTTAACGATCTAGTGGTATAATTGAAACAAAAATAAAAATTCAGTGCTATAATTGATAAAATTAAAAGTTCAGTGGTATAAAGTATAAATAATATAACGCCTAAAGTTTAGTGGTATCTGATGTAGTTTACCCTAGTTTTAATTATATACGAGTTACTCAATTTTTTCAAAAAAAAGAAAGAAAAAATAATTTAACCATTGACCAATAAAATTGAATGTTGACCATTATGATCTTCACGTGATAATTTATGGTGTTGATGTGGTTGTTCACAAATATAGATTTGACAATCTGCGATGGTTGATGATGTTATAAATGAGCTAAATTGATTTTTTAGTCGAGTTTAAGGGTCAATTAATTGTTTAATTTAAAAATTTTATTTAATTTAAAAATAAAAATCATTTAAACTTTACAATCTAAAACTATATATATTTAAAAATTAAAAATTAAATTACTACAAAATATTATTGGAAAATTAAAAACATATAAATTATTTAAAAATAAAAATAAAAATATTTAATATATATATTATGTATAATATATACATGTAACATATAAGCACAAAGACAACTTAATTATATTTATATATTTTAATTAACAAATGCAATATGCTTTTAATTTCATATACATATCAATCATCAATATATATGTCGAATACTTTTATATCATACATGTACACATATTAAACATGATTTCATCATGACACAATCATAGGGATGTAAAAAAATTGAACCGATCTGCAAAATTAATTGAAATCGACTTGAGTTAGAACTGCTTGTGACCCGAGGTGGTGATGATCCAAAATCAATTCGAGTCTGAACTGGTGTTAATCTAAACTCGAATTGGATCTGGTAATTTTGGATCTAAACTCGACCTGAGAATGACTTGAATCCGAATTGAACCTAATAATGTCATAACTGAACTTGACCTAATATGAATTTGAAATCGAGATTAAACTGGTAAATAACTAATATTATCCAACTTGTTATCAACCTGACCTAGTAAATAACTTACAAATTTTGTATCTAATATAGTTAGAAAACATCTTAAGTTATTTATGATATTTAAAAAAAATAACAATATTTTTAATATTTTAATTTAATTTTTATTTTTTAGTATTTATATTACTTTTTAATATTTTAAATATAAATAAGTTCTTAATTTTTATTTTTCCTTAAAAATCAAATAAGTTCCAAATTTTCTAAAAGAATAATTAAGTTTTTAAATTTTGTAAAAGAATCAATGAAGCTCCTTTGCTACATTAGCATCCACCGTAGATTGCTACATTAATATCGTGAATCGATATGTTAATACTATAACAATCAATATCAATTCTATTAGTTGAAGGGTCATTTTTTTTTTTCAATTTAAGGGTCACAATAGATAAAAAAATAAATTTAAAAGACACAATATTTATTTCTTTAAAAATATGAGGACCTCATGTATCATTAAATCTAATACTATATAATATATCTTTTGAAAGTATACTACCTTTTATATTAAATTTATTTTGACATACCTTTTATATTAATATTAATATTTGATAATCGATATATCATTATATTAAATTCTAGTCCTTTAAAACGTATTATTCTGTTGAGAATAATACAAGTCTCCCATTTTGAGCATGATGGTTATGTGGTGACGATTGCCGCCAAGTCGATAAAATCATTCATGTATTTTAATAACAATATATATAATAATTTGATAATCAAATTGCATAAAATAATTTAAGTGTGGGGTTATCATTTTTATTTATCTTGAAAATATAATTCCTAGTGTCGGAACCGTCTTTCGGGTAGATCCGGAATTTGGCTTCGACTTATATAAAATATTAGAGTCACCACCGATTATTTAAAAAATATTTAGGTTGATAAGATATCATCTTACATCATCTGCGTTTTACCATAAATATGTTGGGCTCGGGAGTCGGTTACAGTCAAGGAAGGATTAGCACCCTTGAGCTGCCATTTCGGCACCATTTAATTTATCGGTTGTCTTAATTGCGAACATTAAAATTAAAATTTAAATTTAAAAATTCGATCATAATTATTTATCTTTTGATCAATTAAAATTATCCTAAAAAAGATTATAAATAAAGTTAATAAATAAAACAAACAATGACAAAGAGTTAGTATTAAAAAAATAAAAAAATTAAAAAAATAAAAGAAATGAAAGAAAAATCAAATTAAAAAAAGATTAAATTGGAAAGAATTAAATTCATGGATCAAATTAATTCTAGGAATGAGCTACATGAGAAAAACAGAAACTTAAGGGATTAAATAGCAAAAAATAGAATTTAAAGTACCAAAATAGCACAGATAGAAATTTAAAGGATTAAAATAGTATTAACAAAAACTAGAAGGACCTAATAAATAAATATGAACAAATCAGAGCCTCAACAATCAATTTAAAATAAATAAAGGGACCCAATTTGTAATAAAATTTAATTATGTTGACTAAAATGCAAGAAAACATAAGATAGTGGACCAAATAAAAAATAAACAAGGATCCAAATACAAAAATTAAAATAACAGTGGCTAAATAAAAAACTAATAGTGACTTAACTAAAATAAAACAAAAATGAATAATAAAATAAAAATAAAATAAAAACGAATGGTCCAATAACTAAAATGCAAAAAAACGGAAAACATAGGATGATCGGGACTGCGATTTGACCCTAAAACTAATGACTAAAACATAAATTTACACCTAAAGTATAGGGATCTAAGCATGATTTATCCTTAATTCTGGATGACAAAAGCATGAAGCATCCTGGAACCTAGGGACCTAGTGCCAAATTTACCCAAAAATTAAAAAACAAACAACCCCACCTTTATCATTTCTACTAGCCCAACGAACCAAAAAACAATATGCAACATTCCTTTCTCTTCCCACGAGTGGCGGCCTGCTCCCAAAGATCCAAGCTCTGTCGCCTCGGTCACCCTACATGGGTGGCTATTATACTCCGACAGGGTCTTCAAGGCGTGGGAACACCACGGTCAGCTCCTCAACAACCCAATCGATGACCTCTCTACCCTTGTGCGAAAGCCAAGCCGAAGACTAACCACCATAAATGGTGG